AACCCAAATGTCCATCAGTGACAGACTGGATTAAGAAAATGTGGCACATATACACCATGGAATACTATGCAGCCATAAAAAAGGATGAGTTCGTGTCCTTTGTAGGGACATGGATGCAGCTAGAAACCATTATTCTCAGCAAACTATTGCAAGAACAGAAAACCAAACACTGCATGTTCTCACTCACAGGTGGGAACTGAATAATGAGATCACTTGGACACAGGAAGGGGAACATCACACACCGGGGTCTGTTGTGGGGTGGGGATACAGGGTAGGGATAGCATTAGGAGATATACCTAATGTAAATGATGAGTTAATGGGCACAGCACACCAACATGGCACTTGTATACATATGTAACAAACCTGTACGTTGTGCACATGTACCCTAGAACTTAAAATATAATAAAAATAAATAAATAAATGAATAAATAAATAAATAAGGTGGTCATATATACATCTATACATCTATTTGGAAACTCAGAAGGACAGAGTGCATACAATGGAGAAGTGCCATCATTTGATTAGAAAGCACATAAGAACTTTTCAGAAATGTGAAAAGGCATACATCCACTTATTCAGGAAGCACAATATATTGTATTCAGAAAAAGTTTAAAATTTGCATCTAGACACGTCATAGATAAATGCAAAACACCAAGTGCAAAGAAAAGATCTTGAAAGCAGCAGACAAAATAAAGCAGATGATCCATAAAGTTATGAAAATTGCGTCCACTGCAGTCTTCACAATGGCAATAAAGAGTGACATAATATCTCCAAAGAAGTGGAAAAAAATCATTTTTATCCTAGTATGTTATAGCAAATGTGGTAGGTGGTCTCCAAAGATGACCCCTAGTGAACTATGCTCTCTCCCAAACAAACCAGAGTGACTCAACTTTAACCTATGGTGTGCTGCCGGAGAAGAAGAATAAAATGTGTCAGGACAAATATAAGTATATGTGATCAAACAGAGAAATAAATAAAAGCAAAAGAATAATTGAAAATTTCAGAATAGTGGTTAAATTTGGTGGGGATGAGTGACTGTGGTGAGGACAAAGGGGATTGAATGAGGTGGGGCAAGTAAGGAGATGCATAATTTTATCGATAACGATCAGTTTATCATTTGATATTAGCTGTACTAGTTGTCCATTTCATTATATGGTATGATTTATATATATTTTATAAATATTCTCAGGTATGAATCGCATATTACATTTGAACAACTTAATCTTAAAAGCAATTGCATTATGTCGGAAATATCATTTTTCATGGGCAAAAACCATTTTCCTATCTAACTCTCTAAAATACTGATTGCATAGTAAGGAATAAACTCTTATTTAATAAAGTATTTTCCCCCTTTACTGCCACGAGAAATCTTTTTTGGCACATAATTAAATGACTCTCATCTTTTCCCTAGAAATCATTCAGACATAAATACAGACCTTTCATTCTTAATCTTCAGACTATGCTTTGGCCTCAAATAGTTTTTATCTTTTTCATTACATGGGGTATGGATTGCTTTTTGTGTTTCTGTTTCCATTGAAAATGTCCAACTGGCTTTCATTCTTTGATGAAAGAATGCTAAATAAACAGTTGAGATGGATTCTCATTTGCTTGTTTTATGCTCCACTAGATGGAAAAAAAATGTACCTACTATTTGAGACTAATAACAACATAGCACATTGTAATGTGTCAATTTAATATTGTCAAAAAGTGCAGATGAATTTGCAATACAATTTACATTTCCACGAGTTTACTCATTAATTTATTTAATTTACCTAATGTTTTTAGCATTTACTATGCTGCAATTGTGCTAAGTGATGACATGTAAAAGAGAATATATATTATTTCTACAGTAGAATGTAGGGTGTGTACAAAGGATGGGGTTGGCACAAAAAAAGAGCACTTGATTCCTCCTAGAGAGCTTAGGATATCTGCGCAGAAAAAGAAAAAGTTGAACTGAAACTTACAGAATAGGCAAGAGTTTATCAGTTAAATGTGGCAGAAGAAAGATTTTCTAGAAGAGAAATTATGTACAAAGGCAAAAAAAAGTGCCAATTTCTAGCAACTTGGCCAATTTAACTGATGACAAATAGCCATTTTCCCACTCCACAAGAATTCTGGACAAAATGTCACATAAACACACACACACACACACACAAACACTCACGTGCACACACACACACTTATATGAACTCAAGAGCTGAAAAAGAAATCCCCTCTAGATCTGGACTCAATGATCTAAAAAGTAATAATTCTCTTTCTTCCTTAGGGAACTCGAGGAATTGATTCTGTGGGTGCTCCTTCCTCAATCGGCCTCCTCTTCTCAACCCCAAACATGCACACATCTCAGGGACTCGAGGTACAGTTTAATATCTATTCCCAGACATAAGTACAACCTCCAGCTGCGCAGGGAGGGAACTTGAACTAAGTCTTGAAGCTGGGATCTCAGAAGGGCATCACTGGCCATGAGAGAGGCATAACCTTTTCTGGTTATTTGGTTATTGGTAGCAATAACCAAAACCCTGTTGCTTGTTGGCTCAAGAAAGTAGTCAAGAAGCACACACATCCAAAATTAATTGCTTTGGATTGGGGGAAAAGGGAGAAGAAGAGTTGATATTTATATCTGATCAAAAATTAAAATCAATGTTGGAAATGAATGTCTAAGGGTAAGAGCCTAGAACAGAATCAGTATGAAATTCTGCAAGATTACACTATGCTCCCAGATAGATGATATAGTGTTATACATCATGTTAATAAATAGATTATTCTAAAAGAGACCATAAAATAAATATGCTTAAATAATTAAAGGAATAAAGGAAGAAATACAGCTGAACCTTGAACAACGCAGGTTTGAATTCTGTAGGTCTACGTGTACACAGATTTTCTTGCTCCTCTGCCACTCCTGAGACAGCGACACCAACCCCTCCTCTTCCTCCTCCTCCTCAGCCTACTCAAAATGAAGATGACAAGGATGAAAACCTTTATGATTATCCACTTCCACTTAATGAATATGACTTTCTTAATAACGTTTTCTTTTCTCTAGCTTACTTTATTATAAGAAGCAGTATATAGTACATATACCTTACAAAATATGTGTTAATAGACTGTTTATATCATTGGTAAGGTTTTTCTCCTGGTCAACCATAAGCTATAAGCAGTTCAGTTTTGAGGAGTCAAAAGTTATACACACATTTTCAACTGCTTGGTAGTTGGCACCCCTCATTCCCCTGCATTGTTCAAGGATCAACTATATAAAGCGTAGTAAAACAATGAAGCAGATTGGAAAAAGCACTAAGCTTTTAGAAATGCTAATTACAGTGAATAAAATGAACAATTTAAACAAATGATAAAAAATTAATAATGTGTATAATAAACCTAAGGAAATCACCCAAGCACATCATATAAAGTATTTAAAAATATCAAAGTAAGATTATGAAATACGGACAATAATATGAATTATGTTTAACTCATTTATATTCATTGTCATAAGATTATTTACATATATTATCTTGCTTACACTTGCTCTTAAAAGTAGACACATATCACCATGCTGATGTTTTGTTTACTTTCCGTTATCTCTTTCATATAAATTTTTACTTTTGAATTTTTCTGCTTTTATATTATTTATGATCAATATCAAATTTTAAAAATAAGAATAATACTTGCTTGTTCTCGATATCTTGAATCTTATTAAGTCAGCCTATTAATTTTATCTACTTTTAGAGCATGTGAGTAGTCCATTCTGAGAGCCCTTGTATTTAAAAACAAAACAGAAACAAAATGGCGTCTTTGTAGGATGAAAACCCTAATTTCTCAATCTTGCCCTTTGAGAACTTGAGAACTTTGAAGATTTTGGTCCATTTTTATTTCCTGATATTAGTGCTGCAAAGAATAAAACTGACATCAGATTGATTTCATTCCTTTTTTGCATAATCTGTTTCTGGTTAACGGATGCTTACGGAATTACGTTTTATTTAAACCTACATTTCAGTTTGCCATGTTATGTCTAAGTTGGGTGTTTTTTCATAAATATTTTCTAGTAACCAATCAGCACTTTTAACTCAAGGCTTTAATCAACATCAAAAAATCAAATTCACCTAGGCCTTTGATTGTTGCTTTTTTAATGATTGCTTGGCCTCTTCTTCAATGGTACCTATAATTATCAGTTTGCAGCACTTTGAAATGACTCCTTATCATATTTTGGTCCCTTTTCATCTCATCTTATTATCTTTATGCCACATCCCTTTGTCCTTTCATCTTTTCTTCATCTATTCTGATGATTTTCTGCTAGTGTTTCTTGGCAATTATGCTTACTGGCTACAACTAAACTTATAAAATAGGTTTCTTTAATATTCTCCAGGTAACTGTAATTCTCATTATTCAAATGACTGCGAAACATCAGGATGATGCTATCTCTCTCTTCCTTTGTATTTCTACAAGTTTGTTTTTTGTTGTTTTTGATATTCTTTAGAAATCTTGGTATTGATTTGTTTTTCTTCAAGCACCACGTAGGATTTTGGTTTTTTTTCTTACCCTCAAATGAATGCTCATCCACCAATTATTGTTTGGTAGCTATTTGAATCTCATTCTTGAATCTAGAGATGAGATCCCTTTGCATAATACCTGAGTCAATTGTCAGCATCTAGCCATTTTTACTGAGTATAATTCCTCTGGACTAAGGTATGTCTTTCTCCTACCTATGCTGACTAAATTTCCAGTGCTTTGAATAGATTGAAGCTTTCAAAATGTGCCACCCCAGCATGCATTTCTGCTAGGGTTCTTACTGTCTCCATCTTTATCTTTATACTTGTAGGAATTTTGGGGTCCATAACAGCTAAAATTATTACCTTTTTTTGGATCCATAATATTTTCTTTCTAGATTAAAGGTATTTCATACTATTTTAATACAGAATTTAAATACAAGATATTTGACTGCAAGTTTTAATCATCTAAGCTTCTTTGTTTGACATTAAGTCAGTTCACAATATTAGAAACTTACTCACCAGCTGAAATATGAAGATGTAATCCTATTTATTGTGGCACTTGCTCGTCTTTTATGATCTATCTCAGAATCAAGATTGTTTTTATCAAGGTATGGAGAACAAGGTAAAAATACAGTCACTGGCTTCTGAAAAGGATAAGTTGATGGGTGCTGAATGTGAATCAGAGGGCTTGTAGATTGGACTGAGTAGAAAGTATCTTGCTGTGCTTTTAAATGTGCCACCAGAGCTGGGTCAACTGGTTGGATCTAAACAAAAAATATATTTTTTCTTACATTTTAATAGAAAAGATGCAAACTGTTGGTACATTTCTAATCCAGTTTTTTGAAAATTTTATGGAGCATAGTTTTATACATTTCTCTATACATTGTTAGCTGTAATCAACATTGCATTTTATAAAATATTTATAATGTATAAAAGAACGCAGTATTTGGGCCCTTTCTACAAAGTGTTTCGGAAATATGGGTTCCCTGTTTTATGTTATAAATAACTAAGAAACAGACTTAATTGCAGGCAACAAAATGACCTAGAAAACAAAATAGATGTTTTATAATGATTTCTAATTAGGACTATTATTAGATCAAGTGATCTTTAGAAACTAGAAAAACATGATTTGTTTCTTTTCACATAAGAATGGTTAAAAATAAAACATAGCTAAGATGATTCCAACATTTCAAAGTTCATGGAAAATATCTATAAATAAGTTATTTATTATATGTTTTCTTCCTAATCGTTCTTCTTCACTTACCACTTACATTAACAACTGGAAGAAATAGAGAGGAGAGCATGGGAGGGGAATGAGGCTAGACAAACAGGGAATATTATTTGAGGAAATAAGTCTTGAAAAATATACATTTACATGCCCTTTGCAAATAGTGTTTGCATATATTAAATCCTTACTCCCAGAAAATGGCTGTTTCATAATTAAATATAACCAAATATTTATTATAATAAATATTGTAATTGATTGTCCTCTTTTTTGCCATCCTCTCTGATCAAAATCTTTGAATTATATGAATGTTCCAAAGTCTGTCATCAATTCTTTCATAGTCATGCAACATAAATTTTCCCAATAAATATCATAAACAAAACAACACAACACAAAAGACTAACTGCAAAAATCTTTTGAATAAAGAGAAGATTTATTTTTTAATGATATTTAATATGCTCAAAATCATTACATTATTGCTAATATCACTATGTATTAGGCCATTACAACTATATAAAATAATCCATTTATTGTTATATTAAATATTGGTACCTTCTTTGTTGTTTAGAACCATGCTTGATGACCCACAAAATCTATGAGCAGGAACTCACCTATTTTTAATATGTTTACCTTTAACTGCACAAGTACTGGAGAGGTAAAAACTCCTGGAGGGTAACTTAAGGATATTCGGGAATCCATGCTTGACTTAAGAGTGAGGCCTTTCTTTGTTACTGTGAATGACTCTTTCTTTAAACAAGACACAACAGAAAAGACACCCAATTTGTAAACTTTTACTGAAGCACAAGTCCCCTGTATGGAATAAAGAACATTAAAACAAGCTATAGCACCGATTTGAAAAATATTTGCTGTATAGACTCTATGGATTGTCAAAAAAAATCTCTACACTCTTTATTTAATCACCTACGATTTAAAATGATTCCAGGAACCTAAAATGGATGGTCATTTTATGAGATTAAGTAGAAATCGATAAGAGTTTCTCAAATTTAGACTACAAAATAAAAACCAAAAATAAACATATTTCTTAAATTTAAATTAAATCTTCCCCCAAAATTGTGTGAATAATGGGCAATTATTTTCAGTGTTTTCACAAATATTATTGTTCCTAGAATTCTAGCCTCCATTAGTGAGAATTGATTTTAAATACTGACCTTTATCCAAAACATTCAACACTGTTTTAGGGAATCCTAAGGACTGGAAATCCATTATTTGTGTAGTTTGCTTAAACACTATAACACCTGTGCTGTCAGCAAATTCTTTCTTCAAATAGCTCACAATAACTTAGGTTCCCCAAATACAATCATTTTCTCTATGTCTCTCTGTGCAGTGGGAGCAAATGACTAAGATATTTGTGTTTCTTTTAATATAACGACATTCAAATTTATAATGCACATATACAGACACATACTGAAGGTTTTTTATCGCACAAAAGGCAACTGCGTACATAAATGAAAACAAAATGATCTTTTCCTATAATCACCAAAGCTTAAAAGAAGGAGGCAGAGTTAGAAGTAATTTGGTCTATTCATACTTCCCCAAACAGCAGCCAGGCTCTGCCCCAGCATGAGTGGATAATCATGCTCACATACACAAAAAAACATTTCAGGGACAATCACAATGGAAAATAGTCTACCATTTGAAAGCTGACTAAGGAAGAGATTTCACAATATCGCTGAATGAATCTGTCTCTGGGAAAATTCAGGGCATGGTGAATATTATTAATTGGCCAGAGGGAAAATTGTGAGAAGTGAAAAAGAAAGATCTTCTAGAAACCAATGGTGGTTGCTGTGCACTTCGATCATATTTGATAGATTCTGAAAAGCCAAAAAAGGTTTTTAAATAATTAGAATTTGAAAATGTCATACGATCCACATAAAAATTTGGAAGTAATCCAGAGTTTAAATTTTTTTCTTACTATAAAGAGAAAAATTCATGCCCGTATTTGTTATGATACACAATGATTCCCTCTCTCTCTCTCCTTCTCTCTCTCTCTTTTGTTTCAATTATCCATTTACTAAACATTTTCCAAACCCATTTTATGACAAGTGGGCTATGAGCAGTTTTCGCTTTTATTGTGATAGTTACACAGACTGGCCAAAATTTAAGAGCTCCAATCGAGGGCAATGCTGACTAGACTATCATACCTAGAAACTTCTGATACTAAATATAAAATGTATTAGTTGCAGGAATTGGAGTAAGTAAATAGAATAGGCTTAGCTTTCATATTCAACTATAAAACCTTATTTGAAACCCAGAGAAAACTAAAATCACAAAATAAATATATAACAAATAATTCCATGTATATATGGATTTTTTTTACATTTATTCCCTGCCCTCCTCATCAAATGACAACTTACATAAAGCTGAAAAAGATAAATATTTTAATTGCTTAAAAAGAAGTTAAGTGGCACAAAGAAAAACTTTAAATATTAGTATCCATAAACTCCATACTAAGTTTATTATTATTATTTTTTTATTTTTTTGAGACGGAGTTTCACTCTTATTGCCCAGGTTGGAGTGCACGGGTACAATCTCGGCTCACCGCACCCTCTGCTTCCCGGGTTCAAGCGATTCTCCTGCCTCAGCCTCCCGAGTAGCTGGGATTACAGACATGCGCCACCAGGCCCAGCTAATTTTTCATTTTTAGTAGAGACTGGATTTATCCATGTTGGTCAGGCTGGTCTCGAACTCACGACCTCAGGTGATTAGCCTACCTTGGCCTCCCAAAGTGCTGGGATTACAGGTGTGAGCCACCGAGCCCAGCCTCCACACTAAATTTAACAGTTATTATATTCTCTCTTCACAGCATATGAATTTGTGATCATACAGAGTCTCAGAGTTATTACAATTAAAATCTGACATGAAAATGATAATTTATCAACAATTAACATGTATTTATAGGTTTCCTTCTCTCTTTATGAGTGTATTATCTATTTAATTCTTACAACCATACCAGGTAGACACTATTATCATGTTTATCTCTCAGATGAAGTCACTGAGTCACAGCAAGGTTACATAATTTTCCCAAGTTCACATAGCAAGAAAGTGTAGAAACCATATGTCAAACCTAACCAATCTTCTTCCACAGGCCACATCTTAACTACCACATATACTTTCTTCTATGTATAGACCAAATTTCATTTCTAGACTTATTAACAATCTCAAGGCATACACACACATACACAAATTTTTAAAATTTTTGTGTATTTTCCAACCCATGAATAATAAAAATTAAAGCTACTATCATCTGGGGATTCTAACATTCTTAAATTTAGACAAGGGTCCATCATATTAGAAATGTTGGTCTGAAGTTAGTCAAAAGCACAAAAGTAATTAAGCCATGATTTTGATTTTGTTTCCTAGGTGAAAAAAATAACATTTGGTAGGTGTTCAACCCAAGCTCTCCATTCCTAACTTTGGCTAATCATTTCCATCCTTTGATCTTTATTGATGGCAATAAATTGTGAATGCACTGGCACAAATCCAAAAATCCTTCCATTTATTACTAGTGGAGCAATTATATCTACACTACAATCTATTAGTCTGAGTAATATTTAGAAGAGGAGCCAAACAGCAAATGTAGATATAGCCAAGAATTTACTAACCTTATAACCTCCCTTCATTCCTTCCAGTGAATTTGGGTTTAGGTAACTTGATTGAAGGTTTGTGTCACACACTTTCACCATGATATCTCTGTAATTTCCTCTGTAACGTGCAGTAAATGGAATTGCAATGCCTATTGGAAATGGAATTCTCTTTTCCTTATCTGAGCATTCAATAGTTACGACGTTGCTAACTAACTCTTCATTATCACCCACTATTAAAGAACTCATGTTATTTATTATCCGGCATTCCAGTTGTTGTAGAACATATGATGGTGCTGTAATATAACAAGACACTTGGGGGTCAGTATCATCACTCAGCACATCAAGATACCTGAAGGGGAAAAAAGAATGTCATTTTTCCAATTATTTGATTTATGTACTTTACAGCTAAATGCAGAAAAGCACAGACTCTAGATCTACATTGTCTTGGTGTGAATTCCAGTTCTGATCAAACCTGTGACCTTGGGCAAGATCCTCGGCCTCTCTGCGCCTCAGTTTCCTCAATGGTAAAAGGGTGGTAACATAATAACTGTCTCATGGGAGAATGAATTGAATTAAATGAATCATGACATGGGAAGTAATTAGAGCTATGTCTGGTACATCATACGTGTTATATATATCAGCTATAATTAGTTTGGCTACCATTGTTATTTAAGCAATTGATTCATTCCACAATATAAAGGTGAAGATTGCTGAAGTGTCTTGGTAAAATCAGTACTAATACTTGAATAATTTCCTCAACTGTGAGGAGAAGGAGTCAACATATATGAAGTATTGTAATTGTCTAAACACACTAGATCAAATGATGATGGTGATTACATATTTTTAGAAAAGCTAAAAGATACAAAAAAACTGTAAATTTATCATTAATCATAATAATTAGGCAAAGATTACTTACAATCTTCCAAAAAATGAATCCAAAATTTTATTTTGATCATTCATTTTACTCTTTTTAACCATCAAATTTGCTGAGGATTTGAGAGTCACAGATTTGAATTCAGATTTGAGATCAGTCACTATTTACTTGACCTTACAACTTAATAATTTTTATTAAAATAGCTAATATTTTACTGCTTTCTATTAAGTAGTTTTAGGCTACACACTATTCTCACAACTATTGTATCAGGCAGGTGGTACTAATGTAACTATTTTACAGATAAAAACACTGAGGCTTAGAAAATTTACCTTTCTTTCAAAGATCCCACAGATAGTAAATTTCAGGACGGATAATTGGCTCCATCTAGCTTTAATGTAAAAGTCCAAACTCTTGAATGTAATATCATAATTCCTTAAATCATTCAAAAATGCTGGTTACTTTATTCATTGCAAATTGAAACTAACATCTAATTCATAATAGTGTGAAGACTGAATGCAATGAAACACTTAAACATACAATAATGTGTTGGCCTAAGAAGTGTGCTCAATAAATGCTGGTTTTCTACATTAAAATGACCAACTTGAGTTCCTCTTTTTTTTACTACTCATTTATACCAGTGAAATGATTGAAATACTGGCAATGTTGAAGAGAAATAAGAGGATCTATATTTAATAAAGCATTAATGTCCAGCTCTACAATAATCAGATTTTAGACATTTTTCAATTACTGGTGAATAGAATTATAAAGTGCAATTTAACATAGAAATCCAAAAAATATGTAGAAATTGCAGAGAGGGTCATTGATTTATGTTTACAATTCTAAACTCATAGTTAGAAGGAATAGAAAATGACTCAGCACATTGTTCTGCTTGAGTATTCTTTGGTGATGGTGATAAAAGTAATTCAGAAAATGAGAAACATTGTTTAATAGAGGATACAGTGACCCAGCATTGTATAACTTTAGGAATGACTCTCCTCTGTGCCTTGGAAACCATCTTAATACACTTTTCTTCCAGGAGTTATGTTTCTCAACTGACAGATGAAGTAGGACAAGGAGACTTTTAAACAGTTCCGTTCTCTCTAGCCCTTGTCAAATAGATCTAGACTAGACACTAAAATACAGTTACATGGTAGTTACCAAACAGCATGGCACTGGTATACAAACAGGCACATAGATCAATGGAACAGAATAGAGAACCCAGAAATAAAACTAAATACTTATAGCCAACTGATCTTCAACAAAGCAAACAAAAACATAAACTGGGGAAAGAACACCCTATTCAACAAATGGTGCTGGGATAATTGGCAAGCCACATACGGAATAATAAAACTGCATCCTCATTTTCCACCTTACACAAAAATCAACTCAAGATGTATCAAGGACTTAAATCAGACCTAAAACCATAAAAAGTTCTAGATGATAACATCAGAGGTCCAGCACTGTGGCTCAGGCCTGTGATCTCAGCACTTTGGGAGGCCGAGGCGGAAGGATCACCTAAGGTCAGGAATTCAAGACCAGACTGACCAATATGGTGAAATTCCATCTCTACTAACGATACAAAAATTAGCTGGCGTGCTGGCAGGCACCTGTAGTCCCAGCTACCCAGGAGGCTGAAACAGGAGAATTGCTCGAACCCGGGAGGTGGAGGTTGCAGTGAGCTGAGATCGTGCCACTGCAATCCAGCCTGCGGGAAAGAGTAAGACTCCATCTCAAAATAAAATAAAATAAAAAATAACATCAGAAAAACTTTTCTAGACATTGGCTTAAGCAAAGACTTCATGACCCAGAACCCAAAAGCAAATGGAACAAAAACAAAAATATATAGGCCTTAACTAAACTAAAAATCTTCTACACAGCAAAATAAACAATCAGCAGAGTAAACAGACAACCCACAGAGTGGGAGAAAATCTTCTCAATCTACATATCCGACAAACGACTAATATCCAGAATCTGCAAGGAATTCAAACAAATCCACAAGTAAAAACAAACAATCCCACCAAAAAGTGAACTAAGGACATGTATAAACAATTATCAAAAGAAGATATACAAATGGTCAACAAATATATGAAAAAATGCTCAACATCACTAATTTTCAGGGAAATGCAAATCAAAATCACCGTGCAATAACACCTTACTCCTGCAAGAATGGCCATAATAAAAAAACAAACAAAAAAGATGTTGGTGTGGATGTGGTGAAAAGGGAACACCAGTTTACATTCCCACCCTCAGTGTAAAAGTGTTCCCTTTTCACCGCATCCACACCAACATCTTTTTTGTTTGTTTGTTTTTTGATGTGAATGAGAAAATAAAATGTTTGTTTTTCCATTCCTGAGTAACTTCAGTTAATGTTCTCCAATTCCGTCCAGGTTGCTGTGAATGCCATTATTTCATTCCTCCTTATGGCTGAATAGTATTTCATGGCATGCATATATGTGTGTGTGTGTGTGTATATATATAATATCTAATATATTATATACATTTCATATATAATATACAATATTTATATAATA